AAGACAACGTGAATTCTTTCTTTTTGTCCCCCACTCTGACCCAAATGATTCCACCTCCACAGATGTGTACTCACCAAGATCAGATGGGCACAGTTCTGCTATTGTCTACATCCAGCACTGCAATGCTCCCTCTACTGGCTGCACCTGCACATTACAGCCCTCTATGCTGAGAGATGGATGTGACCAGAAGAGGGAAAACTTGTGGCACTGGATGTCGACAAACAGCAGAGCAGTGGTCCTTGGACCTTGGTAAGAATAGATCCATGGAGGGTGAGGGTGAGATAGTTTAGCTTAAGGGGGCAAACAATACAAGTGCACTTTGTCTATGAGTGCACTTATTCTTTAAAGTTTAACATATATGTTTCCATAAAACTTTTATTCTCAGTTTGGGATTGTGGATAGAGAGTGGAAAAAGAAGAATGCAAAAAGTATTTGTATTCAAATTTGTATTCTACCTTAGATTAAGAACACTTAAAATAGGGAAAAATGCCACACAGGGAGAACCTCTTGTATAATTCACAGTAATCCACATAGGCTTGCACATAGAGAATTACATTCCAATGATTTCTATTATCTATCTCATAGGGATGTCCCAAACAATCAAAGATAAGCGTCTGTGGAGTTCTTCTCTATAACGTGTCCCAGAAACCTGGATCACTCCCTTTTATGACTATATGAAGATGAATGGGCAAATGTATAGTGATATCACTTGGTATATTAGTTCCATTCTCCATCTGTTGCTCCAACAGCAACACAGTCAAAAGTAAAACATTGGGTTTTTTTTAAGTTAAGTTAGGGAAGACTGTCAGCTTTTTATTGTTGTCAGTTTCCCTGTTGAAGATTTCCCCTCACTTCCCGTCTGGTAAAAGGTCTCCAGAACAGAAAGTGAGGTGAAATCTCTCTAACGGAGCTCTGGATCTCAGTAACTCAACTTTAAAAACATACAAATGAAAACAATCTTAAAAAAATAAATATAGCATATATAATTGTAGCACAGACCGTTTTGTAATATTATGTCATTAAAAATGAACTTTCCATTTTAAACTGTAGCTGCTGTAATGTTCTAAATCTGTCAAAAAAACATGCAATGCAATATGGTGACCTGGAGTTGTTCCGTACATAGTTGGAACGCCCCCAGAAATGTCACTTCCTGCTTCTGTGATTGACTGACTGAAGTATCATATTTTGGCATCCCTTGCATTTGGAATTTCCTTTTTGCCGAGATACTCCCAAAGGGTTAATTACTAATGAAGGGATGCCGACACTGCACCTTTCCTCATTACAACACAGAAAGTCCACCAGCTGATTATAATGCACCCAGATCCTCCCATTCAGGAATCAGTTTGGAAAAGGACAACAAACAGCTTTTTCCTCAGAACAGAAACTGGTAGGAAACTGCAACAAAGTGCATTCAAATCCTTGTAATGTACATAGATCACCCAGAGAGGATTTTTTTTTTTCTCATTAATAGTGGAATTACTCTTTAGGACAACTAAAGGGACACCAACAATGCACCTTTCCTCGTTACAACACAGAAAGTCCACCTGCTGATTATAATGACCCCATAGCCTTCCATTCAGGGATCAGTTTGGAAAGGACATGCTGCAACAAACATTTTTTTTCTTCAGAACAGACTGTCAGGGACCATAGCACCTCCAGCTCACCTGCAGCTGTCTCCAGGCAGCCAGGAGCTGTCAGGTACTAGGTGGTGCTGGAACCTGCGAGTCCAGTGCTCACCTGTGAGTGTCTCCCAGCTGTCAGCGATTAATCACTACCTGGGAGGGTATTTATTCCCTCCCTGCAGTCTGGATATTGCCTCAGTATCCTGTCACCATTTCATTGTGCCTTGACCTTTTGTTCCGTAGCTCCCTTGGTGTCACTTTGCTCCCCGGGTTTACTTGCCTGTTACTTTTTGCATGTGTTTGTGTTTAGATGTAGTTAGCCACTATTACCTGTTTGTGGTTACTTGTGGGTGTTGGTGGGGTTATTTGCGTTATATTTTGGTGTGCATAATAAACCATATCTAAGCTCATTGGCAGTGCCTGGTGTGGTCATGCATTTGGTCCTCCCATGTGGGTACCTGAATGCGGTGTGAGGACACCCGCTCACAGTTACCCTGATACAGACACAGGTCGGAAACTGCAACAAAGTTTGTTAAAATCCTTGTAATGTACACAGATCACCCAGAGTAAAGAATTACTCTTTAAAGCCAGACAGGGTTTCTGTTCTTCCCCCCTTTATATCCCAAGAAAAGAAACTATTGAAAAATGTAAACTAGTTAAAATTAAAACTACAATTTAAAAAAACTGGAAGAAAAAAAACGGACTAAAAATAGAGCGGCTGGTTGTTTACACAAAAATAAAACAAAACGCTTCTTTATACTGTTAATCACATAATAGAGAAACTCAGAGACACCCCAGTGCAAAGTTACCAGTTTATTGTTCTTTAATAAATACAATGATCCCAATTGTGTATACACAATGTGCTCCTTCAGCCAGGACAAGCACAGTATTTCTGCTCCAAAACACTTTTGAAAATAAAAAAATATAGAACACTGGATACTATTGAGTAACATAGAAGACGGGCTGAAGGATCTGAAATCAACACATTTACAAAGTAAAAGCAATGATTAGAAGTATTTTTCGCTGATAAAATATAAAATGTATCAAAAGAGAATATAGAAGAGTCTCAGTTATTTTTGAAGGTATTCAACAAGTTGACATATTTTATTTATATTTTTTTGTGACTTTCAGGTAAAAAGGATTACTTAAAAAAAAAAAAAACAGATCAATACATTTCTTTAATTAGCAGCAATTAACAATTAAATATATTGTTTAATAAACAGATTATTATCAGCACCAAAGCTCATTTTATCTTTCCACAATAGGAAATGACAACCAAAAATACATCACTTTATTTAAACTAAAAACTTGCTTTTTCTTTGATTTGGATATTATAGCGTTATTTAATAGGTTGTATAATAAACTTTCTAATCATTTGCTAAAGAAATAATGATTTGGGGGTTTAATAAACAGAAGATCTGCAATTAAAAAAATTCAACAAATTTAGGCGACAAAAAAAAAACCAAATCATTTTTTAAATCTTGTTACTCGATATTGGAATAAAATTTGAAAATCTATATAGAAAACAGCCGGAAGCCAGTGGTTATCGTAAAAACTATTTTGTTTTCTAATATTTATAAACTATTAAAATAGATTTTAAATGAACAACACTTTTATAAATATTTTTAATTGCATATTTACATTTTGCGATATATCACCTTCTGCAGTCAGTTGCGTGTCTTACATCTATCGGAGTCTAATGGCGTCAAAATTAAATTCTAGTCAAACACAAAATCTAGTAATTAAACTATTGCCTGAATAATTTTTTTGCTTTTTGATGTTGGTTTAAAAAAAAAATGATCTTGTCTCTACCCCTTTTTTTTCCAGCCTGTAACAGCTCTAAAGTAGTCTTGCTGACAACGGCTGGTCTAACTAAAAAAAATAAAATAATAAAAATAAATGTGGGGATGGCTAGGCATTGCAGGCAATGTGACCCCACAATTAAATGTATAAAAGTCAGAATGAAAGAGGTACTTCTAGAGCTTGCATTAAAAAAATAATAAAAATAAGAGAATAGAATACAGTGCCAACGTGACATCAAATTTTGACATCAAATGATGACTTTTATAATGACTCCTTTTAAATTATTTATAGCTGTTACAATGTAACTCAAGTTGAACCTTTCTTTGTTTTCAGTTTGGATAGATCGGGATGATTTGGAGTATTTGTTGGGTTTTTATTACTGTTTGTACCTCTGTTGGGGGGATTTTTCCTTACATTCTAAGCATTCTTCATGTAATCTAAGGCCTTATTCATGCTGTAATCGGCCGGCACGTACAGCTCCATGCTGCATGCACGGCCATACCAAGCAGCTCCCGGGAAGGACAGGTGCTTCTTGTGATTAGTACGCAGCCCCCGTCCTTCTCTATGGTACTACGTGGCCGTACGCCCCCCTACGCTCACCTCAAGTGCAGGTCCGTAGGGGTGCGTGTTTCCTGGCTCGGACGCAGACAAGATCCATCCCGTCAGCGTACGAGTACACTCATCCGCACCCGTACGGACGTGCAGGGCGGGTGAGCGTGGGGCGTCGTACGGCCACGTAGTCCCATAGAGAAGGACGGGGACGTACTAATCACACGCAGTACCTGTCCTTCCCAGGAGCTGCTCGGTATGGCCCTGCACGCAGCATGTGGGCCGATTATAGTGTGAATGAGGGCTAAAACTAAAAAATGGTTGAGTTAGAGTCCAACTATTACACCTCAAATATCATACTTGGGTCAACAGCAGAGGGTGGTAGTTTACAAGCTTAATGGAATGAGCGTGGCTACAAGTGGCTAGTACATGGGGTGACTACCTTGCAAAACAATCTTTGGTCCTCATAGCTCTGTTTTCAAGAGTGAACATCAAAAGTCAGGTCAATATGTACAGTTGGCAGATTAGATTTCATCGGTGCAAATTGAGCCCGGTGGGGAAGTTGGGGTGGGGGCTGTTGGGGTTTAACAGGTAACCTCCATGGATTTAACATTGTTCTGGTCGTCCATTCTGGTGTCCGTGTGTGAGCGGCCCCGGTTCCCTTCTCCTGTCTGCGCTCGGCTGCGGTTGCCTTCACCGGTGTGGGAGCGGCTGCGTGAGCCCTCGTTGGTGTGAGACCGGCTCCTGTTACCTTCCAGGGAGGAGACGCTGGCGCCAGAGTTTGTTCGGGATCTCATCAGTCTGGTCATGCTGGATGCAGGCACTGAAAAAGAGGTTTTTAAGAATTTGAAGGCATTTGTGATAAGGATCCTGCACATGCATTAAAAATATCTGGATACCTGCCCCATACTCAACCCAGATGCCTATAGCTTACAGAAATTAAGTTCAAAAGGTCATACCACATGAATGGCTCACAACACTTATTTTAGTATACTTGAATTATTTTATCAGGGCTCAAAATTTCCACTCGTTCACTCGCAAATTGCGAGTGAAAATTGCGTGTGGGCGAGTGGAAATTAAGCTATTGAGTCTGGCACTGTCATGGACAGAGGCAGCTGCTGGTCCAGCCATAGATCGGATCTGCAGCTCCTCCTCAGAGCGCAGGCTGCTTGCACATTCTCAGTGCAAGTTTTCTTTCCCAGAGAGTGTCAGCGTCAGTGTTCCCTCGGCAACCCGGCCGGCGGCCGTGGCTCTGAAACCCGAGCTTTCTGCTGTAACTGTAAGTAAACTCTTCAGAAGTTAGAGCAGTGATTAACCCCTACTGTGCACACAAATGTAATGATTAATATGAGCAAATGTGTTTGTGTTATGCCCTGCGTGTAATGCTGTGTGTAATGCCCTGCGTGTAATGGCATGCGTGTAATGCCCTGCGTGTAATGCTGTGTGTATGCCCTACGTGTAATGCTGTGTGTATGCCCTGCGTCTAATGCACTGTGTGTATGCCCTGTGTTTTATGCTGCATGTATGCCCTGTGTGTTATGCTGCATGTATGCCCTGTGTGTAATGCTGCGTGTATGCCCTGCGTGTAATGCTGTGTGTAATGCCCTGTGTGTTGTGCTGCATGTAATGCCCTGTGTGTTGTGCTGTGTGTATGCCCTGCATGTTGTGCTGCCCGTATGCCCTACGTGTTGTGCTGCGCGTATGCCCTGCGTGTTGTTATATTTATTGAGTAGGTCCCCCTTTTTCTGCCAAATCAGCCATGACCCATTGAGGCATGGACTCCACTAGACCTCTGAAGCTATGCTGTGGTATTTGGCACCAAGCCATTTGAGCTACAGTAGCTCTTCTATTGGATGGCTCTACATGGGCCAGCCTTTGCTCCCCATGTGCAACGAGCCTTGGCCACCCATGACCCTGTGGCCAGTTCACCGGTTTTCCTTCCTTGGACAACCTTTGGTACGTCCTGACCACTCCAGACCGGGAACATCCCACAAGAGCTGCAGTTTTGGAGTTGCTCTGACCCAGTTGTCTAGACATTACAATTTCTCTCCTGGGCGGCTGGGAGAGGGAAACTCCCAGAGCGCCCGGGAGAGTTTGCTGTCTGGAGATCAGTGTCCCTGGTTAGCTGGTAACCAGGGACGCTGATCTCTCTGCAAGTGGCCGGAGCCAGCCATAAGATCACGGCTGGCTCTCTGCCCAGCTGTCAGAAGCAGGCTGTCGGCTGGTCGCTCGGCCAGCTTTGGCTTTCAGCGCGGCTCAGCCGAGCCGAGGCATATGCCCTCGGCTCGACTGAGCCGCTCGACTAAGTTCGGGAGCTGTATGGGCTATAGTGAATAGCCCGTACAGCACTCCTTCGGTTCTACTGAACCGAAGGGGTCCTGGGGCCTAAGCTAGCCGAAGGTTCGGCCGAAGCTATGGCTAGATCCTTCGGCTGCTTCGTGAATAGACCCCTATGTAACTATGTAAGCTGTGACCAAACTTGGCCAGTTTGACAGCGGCTCCAAGGACTAGGAACGCACATAAATGTGCATTTCAAGTTCTCTTCTGCAAAGTTAATTAACCTTCTCATGGCAAGAGACATTTTACATTTGGACCTATAAAAGCTGTATTGCGGTGACGAAAGTGTGAATACAGAGCTACATTCATTTCTGTCTTTTATATCTGCCTGGAGTTCAAGTCTAAGACAATTTCTTTCAAATATAGATATAAAAAACAATTACTTACTGTAGCCCATGCCTTGGACAAAGTATTTAAAGGCCTCAGTGAGCTTTGCAGGCTGAAAGTAAACATAAAAACAACGATCAATAATTGTATTATCTATCACTTTTATCACAGTTGTAGGTTCTATGGTGGCCATGCATGTAGCGAGGTAATCTTGTAATCAATATAAGGAAAGATGAGCAACTTCTGGAAATCGATGGCATCAAACAATTACTTGATACAGAAACAAAAATAATCTTTTCTTTTCTTGCGTTGAATGATTGTTTTTAACCAAAAGACGGCTTGGCGTGATTGAATCTATTGCTGATTAAATTATTTCTTGTTCTGTATACAGAGAGCAGAACTGATATCTAATATTCATCATTTTTACCTGAACGACTTGAGGAAATCCTCCGCAGTCTGACATCTGAAGAGAGAGAAAAGATATTGATGAATCATTTCAGACAAAACTTTAACAGCATTGACTGACCGGAAACTTTTTATTGTTTTGGGTGAATTGGGGAAGTGTTCAAAGTGACACTCAGGAATTAAACCTTAAGAATACATTCCAGTACCCAACTATTAACAAAATATATCTTATTTGTGTATCACTCGGCTGTAGATTCTCCAATCATCTCTTAACCACTTGAAGACCAGGGGGTCTACTCACTAAGCTGCCGTAGGCAGCCGAGTGACTTACCGACCCGAAGCGAAGTGAGACGAACGCTGTTCGGCTATGAACTTCAGGCTAGTACGGCTGAAATCAGCCGTACATTGGGTGGCTTCAGCTGGCTTTGACGCATGTTTGCATGCATGGGTGGGGACTTAAAAAAAAAAAATTTTTTTTTGTTTTCTTTTTTATGTGACAAAAAAATTTGGAGAAACTTTAATTTTTTTTTCCACTTAACTTTATTTCTATCACATAGGGGGCTAAGAAACCTCCCTATGTGACAGCAAAGAGATGTGACAGGTCCTCTTTATGAAGACATCAGGGGTCTCCAAGACCCCTAATGTCACCTAGGACCCCCCTCTGCTTCATCAGCTTCTCTCCAGCGTCTGAAGCTGAAGAGTCCATGGTCCCATCGCACACCTGACCGCCAAATCGCTTTGAAAAGGGGGTGTTGCGGTGGTCAACGGGTGGCATCTGTTATAATCACAAGTAAAGATAAAGACACCGGCACTTCAAATTCATAAGCAAACGTCTATTTATTGACGTGCAGCATTGTAAACAGCAACAAATGTTTCGGGGTCACAGAGGATCCCCTTCCTTAGACAAAAGCATGAAGCTGGAGAGTGACACAAGAATGCAGAAGTGATGTAATATACATCACTTCTGCATTCTGACAGCGGAGAGGGGATCGGAGGGAGATCATGTAGTGAACTCCCTCTGATCCCGTCAGAGAGGCACTATGCTGGTCCGGGACAAGCGTGACAGCGGGGGAGGGGGGGTGTGGAAGCGCGGAGGTGGGGGGGGGCGGGATGCACAGAGCGGCACCCCATACAAGGGATCTGCTGGCTCTATAGCCAGCAGGTCTCTTGTATGTTAAAATGCATCACTGCCTGTTTTTAAATTTAGGCACTTTCCTGCGTCGCGCCCGAGTGGGCGTGGCTGAGCGGACGTCTAAAGACGCCCGCTCAGATCTTGAGAGCTCCTGGATGGCTGTTTTTTAACAACGGCCGGCCGGGAAGTAGTCAATTTGTGCTGACACGGTCCTTCCTTCCGGAGTGTGGTTACTTTTATTCCCCATGGTCCCTGTGTGTGTTGTAAAGTAGTCACCACCCCAAGCTCACTCCTGTGATGGACTACAATCTCAGGTTTAGTTTACTAATTTGTATTGAGATGAGACAGGCGCAAGCTTGGAGCGGTGACTACTTTACAACACAAAGGGACCATGAGGAACAAAAAGTAGCCCCCCTCCAGAAGGAAGGACAGTGTCAGCACCGCAGTGTCAGATACACAAATAAGATACATTTTCCTTAATAGTCGGGGTACTTGAATGTATTTTTAGGATTTAACTTTTGAGTTTAGTGTCACTTTAGCACTGCCCATATGTAATTGCTACAAATTAAAATATAAACCAGAACAACCAAGTATGAAGAAAAAAAATACAAATCCCACAAAGAACAATACCCCATGAAACAAAAATCAGCACCACAAAAATCGCAGAAAAAAAAAATTATAATAATTTTATTATAAATGACACGATACTGTACAATTATAAACCCCCCACAAATATAACCTAAAGATTAAAAAAAACATTGAAAAACTCACAAAACCCCTAAAGCCAGTGACACACTGCATGCAAAGCAGAGCAAAGAGGTTTGCATGCAGTGTGTGAGCTGAGCGCAGCCAGATGAAAGACTGCATCTGTAGCCAATTGGCTCGTGCGTAACAACCAAATGGACTTCGCATTGTGACGCGCGGGTTTATACGATTGGCTGAAGATAAACTTTTCATCCTGGCATGCTCAGCTATGTGAGCTCTTGCAAGCTGATGTGCTGGAGTGAAAATGACATAACACACTGCGTGTGAAGGTCTGCGCTGTGTCTCGTGCAGTGTGTCATAGCCTTTAGTTCCAGTGCACACCTAGGCGACCCTGTGAACCCGTGCCAAACGTGGGGAAAAACACACGCTTTGGCGCGCGTTCATGGAACGCGTCAAAAACATGCACTGTGCTTGCTCTGCCATTACAATTAAGTCAAGCAAAAAAAGCCGCAGGACACTTCTACCAGATTTTGCCACATGAGCTAGTTTCCCATATTTGTTGCACGTGCAGAAACCCACTGAAATCAATGGGCGATGTCAGGCAAGTTTTGTAATCTGCACATTGCCCTGCTCGGTGATTGAGAGCCATGGGGGATGATTTACCAAATGTTAATAATCTGTTCAATTTCCAAGATGATTTTCTCTTTACAAGGGACTTTTCCCGTAGCTTAGTGAGTGAGCAAAGCTCTGCAGACGCCCATCATCAAGTCATGAAAACAGGTTTTTCATTTTATTTTTCTTGCACATAATCGGGTATTCTTTGCAAGGTGAGTTTTCACCACATTCAATAAGGTAATATGAAATGCCCCAGCAAAGCGAGCAGTCTGCCTGCCTATAGCAAATCAACCCCATTGTGTATTTCTATGGGTCCTACCTTCAGCAATGTGGTCTTTGTGGGGTCCAACTTTGAATTACATTCCACCTAGAAAAATGGGAAAGTGAAAATGTTACCATATTTATCCAGAGAATCTTCTGCAGGTTGTGAATTCTCTTTCACTCTTCACAGATAACCAAAAAATAGGAGATATCATTAGCCCAGT